AAGAAGTGCAGGATTCCAAAGTGTTGAGGGTTTTTTTATTTTTAATTTAGTTTCATTTTTAATCTTTAAAAATTTTTGTATGGAGCTATAATTCACATACCGTAAATCTCACCCTTTCAAAGTGTACGATTCAGTGGTGAGAGTATATTCACAAGGTTTATATCTGAGACAGTCATAAGACTTATATTCAGTGCATTCACAAGGTGAGTGATGCACTTATCACCCTAATTCCAGAACATTCTCATCACCCCAAGAGTTAATCCGAAACCCATTGCTCCAACCCATTGTTTCCCTGATCTCTGGATACCACTCGTCTGCTTTGTGTAGTGTCTGTAGCAAACATTCCATGTATTAATAAATGGCATCATATCATATGCAACCTTTTATGTCTGGCTTCATTTACATAACATGTTTTCAAGGTTCATTTGTGTTCTAGCTTGTATAGGTCCTTCTTTCCTTTTTATTATGAAATAACATTCTGTGGTATGGGTGGACCACATTCTGTTTATCCACTCAGGGTGAGCATGTGGCTGGTTTCCGTTTTGTGGCTATTATGAATACTGCTGCTATGAGCATTCATGTAGGAGATTTTGTGTGGACATATATTTTCATTTATTTTAGGAATACCCAGACAATCCCCAACTTACAATGGTTCGACTTAAAATTTTTCAACTTTATGATGGGTTTATCCACTCATGACCCCATCATAAGTCGAGGAGCATCTGGACTTATGATAGTTCGATTTATAATATTTTGACTTTATAATGGGTTTATTGGGACATAGCTCCATCATAAGTGGAGGAACATCTGTGTGCTGTATTGGTCAGGGTTCTCCAGAGAAACAGAACCCTTAAAATGGAGATATAGGCTGGGCGTGGTGGCTCACGCCTGTAATCCTAGCACTCTGGGAGGCCAGGGCAGGAGGATGGCTTGAGCTCAGGAGTTTGAGACCAGCCTGAGCAAGAGCGAGACCCTGTCTCCACAAAAAATAGAAAAATTAGCCAGACATGGCGGTGTGCACCTGTAGTCCCAGCTACTTGGGAGGCTGAGGCAGGAGGATCGCTTGAGCCCAGGAGTTTGAGGTTGCGGTGAGCTATGACAACACCAGTGTACTCTAGCCCAGGGGACAGAGTGAGACCTTGTCTTTAAATTTAAAAAAAAAAAAAAAAAGGGGGGAGAGACCCATAGAAAGAAATTGATTATGAGGGATTGGCTCTCGTGATTATGATATGCCATCTGTAAGCTGGAGACGCAGGAGAGGTTGACGAGGAGGAGGAGACGCAGGTGACGTGGTTTCTGTCCGAGCCAGGAGGCCTGGGAACCGGGGAGCCAATGGTGGAGTCCCATCTGAGTTCCAAGGCCCAAGAACAAAGAGATCGATGAATCATCCCAGTCCAAGTCTGAAGGCCCAAGGACCAGGAGGGCAGGAGAAGGATGTCACAGCTTGAGCAAAGAGAGGAAATTTGCTGTCCCTCCGCCTTTTTGTTCTAGTCAAGCCTCAGTGGATTGGACTTAGTAAGGGGGAGCTTCTTCGCTCAGTCTCTGGATTCAAATGCTAGTGGCTTCCAGAAACACCGTCACAGACACACCCGGGGCAATGATTTACCAGCCGTCTGGGCAGCCCTTAGCCCAGTCCAGCAGACACACAACACTGACCCCCACACATACGCACGAGTGGAATTTCTGGGTCCTGTGGCGACTCTGTGTTTAACATTTGAAGAGCTGCCTGACTCTTTTCCACAGCAGCTGCGCTGTTTACACACACAGAGACACACACACACGCACACACACACACAGCAGCGAACGAGGGTGCCGGTGTCTCCGCATCCTTGCCCACATGTGTTATCGTCCATCCTTTCGGTCACTGCCATGCTAGTGGGCATAAAAGAAGGTGACAGACTGTCGGAATAATCGGTCTGCTAGATGAGGTCAAGGCCCTCCGGGGGGAGAATAGGGCCCTGACACATAGAGTGGGGACACAGGACTCCATGTCCCTGAGAACTTGAGCCCAGGAGTTTGGGCTCCATGTTCCCCGAACCCTAAGAGCTGTAGAAGTGACCCGTCCACCGCTCCCCGTTAAGAGCTGCCCCCCCCTTGCTTGGAGACCCTGCAGAGGCCTCTTGTCCACAGACTTGTGCCCCAGCAGACCTGTGCCCACCCCCTCCTGCCCACTGGGCCTGTGACCAGGCGTAAGTCCCAGCATAACCAGCAGGGGGCGCGCTGGGCCTGAGAGGGGAGGAAAGAGCCTAAATCCCAAAGGAGCTGGAGGACCCAGCCAGCGTACCCCAGCAGAAGTCGGGTGAGCACGTGTAGGGGGGCCTAGCGGGTGCTTGATGGAGGGGCTGCAGTGTGAGGCCAGCTAAGGGAGAGCGCACTGCTTTGCGACTCCTCTTGGGAACCCGGGACTTCACACCCGGCAAGGACTCCAGGAGAAGACGCAAACTTGCTGCTAGGACGGCTCCTGGAAGGATGGGGGAGCGACAGCTCACGCTCAGTGAGATCGGAAAGCCCGAGCTGCCCTGGGAGTAGGGGAAGAGGGAACGAAAGGTCAGGGAACTGGGCATGCTCAGGCAGACGTACCCCAAAAGCCAGGGATGATGCCCTCTGCGGAAAGGCCAAGACCCTCCTTTACCGACGCCACGAGGAACGGGCCTGGCACACACCAGGACATCACGGAGACGCTCAGGTGGCCTCCTCTGCAGAAGATGCCATCCCAGGATGGTAGGCAAGGCCCGCGGGGAACTAGGCTCACTGACAGCAAAGGGATTAGATTACCCGGAAATAACAGAGGCCAGGAGACGGCACTTACCCACCAGGCGGCCACAGTGGTGAGCGGTAGCGTCCAGGGCGGCCAGGAGGGCCTGACCCACAAAGCATGGAGATGACCCATAAAACATGGTGTCCCCAGGGACAGATTAGAGAGGCCACAACCAGGAAACTATCCTCACCATCAAAATATCTCAAGGATGGACAACTAGGAAGGACATCGAGGGGACTTGCCCCAATAAAAAAAAAAAAAATCCCCATCCCTTTCCCACTGGGCTTCCCAGGGAACACGTCTGTGACATAAGATACCTCAATGCCACGTATAATCCTAGATGGGGGTAGGAAGGGTGCTATAAAGAGGAGTATTGGAATAATTGGCAAAATTCCAATGTAAGAATATATTCATTGTATATGTTATAAAAGATTATAGCATTGTATCAATGTTAAAATTCTGTATTGGATCATTGTTCTGTGTTTATGCAATAAGATATCCTTGTTCTCAGGGCATGTATGTTCAAGCATTTAGGAGTAAAGGGACAATAAATCTGCAACGTGAACTCAAATGGTTCAGGAATAAAAATACTCATAAAATGTACACCGAGCAAGAATAGAGGCAAATGTGATTAAAATATTCTGGGTGAAGGGTCTAAGAAAGTTCTTTGTACCCATATTGCAAATTTTCTCAGCATTGCAAATTATTTCAAAACAAAGTGTTTTTAAAAAGCAACAAATAAAAAGCACAGGCTTTGGAATCAGGCAACATGTTGGAGTTAGAAGCCAGCCAGACAACTTGCTAGCTGTGTGTCCTTGGGTAAATGTCCCCACCTCTCTGAACCTCCATGTTAGCATCTGAAAAAGGAGCCTTAAGACCCGTGCCCAGCCTGCCTGCCTCTCGGTGTTCCAGTCAAAGTTGGATAAGGGCGGGGAAGTCCCTTAACGGTCAGGTTCATTAGTCAAGGTTCTCCAGAGCACTAGAACCAATAGGATATGTATATATTTATTCTGAGAGGTTTCTTTTTAAGAAATTGGCTTATGTGCTTGTGGAAGCTGGCAAGTCCAAAATCCGCAGGGTGGAGACCCAGGGAAGAGTCACTGCTACACCTTGAGGCTGGAGGCAGTCTGCAGACAGAATCCCCTCTTTTGGGACAAAGGTCAGTCTTTTTCCTATTAAAACCTTCAACTGATTAGATGAGGCCCACCCACATTATAGATGGTAATTTGCTTTACTCAAAGTCTACTGATTTAAATGTTAATCTCCTCTAAAAAAAGAAAAAATACCTTCACTAAAAGATTTATAATAATGTTTGATCAAATATCTAAGCACCTTGGCTCCACCAAGTTGACGCCTAAAATTAACCATCCCGTCAGGGAAGGACCCCAGTCCCCCTCACGGCTTAGGGATTTTTATTGCTGGGCCACAGCAGCCGACTAGGAGCCCTGTGAGTCTCACGTTTGCAGCTCCGGGCGCAGCAGTGGCATGTCTGTCTCCCTCCCGGGCCTGTTTTCTGCCCTTGCTGGGCTAAGTGTCTCATGAGGCCCTGCAGCTGTCCCCTTGTGTGCTGAGGAACCCCACACACAGAGGTTCCTGCCCCCTGACCACTCGGGGGCCTGTGTTTCCCCAGAGGCAGAACGGAAACCTGAGCCCAGCTCAGTCCCTGCCTTGCTGTGTGTCCGTGGGCAAGTCAGTGCCCTCTCTGGATCTCTTTCTCCTCTCTGCTGCCATCCCTGAGTCTGAGCTCCCTGGCCACTGAGAACAGGAAGAAAGGGACAGAGCCTTGAAAGATGACCCCTGCCCCTCTGCCTCTGTGTTTGTCACCCTGTGCTAAGCACTTTGTAGATATTATTGGATCCTCACGTGAACCCTTTGACAGAGGTACCATGTATTCCCCAGTCTACAGATGGGGAAATTGAGGCACAAAGAGGGCAGGTGATGTGCTCAAGGACAGAGGTCCAGCATATGCGAAGCCCTCACAGTGGGGCTCTAGATGTTGCGTGTTTAACCTCGAGTCCTGGGGAGCCGCTGAGAGGCTGGCCATCTCAGCCGCAGGGGCAGGCAGGGCAGGGCTTCTGAACTTGAGTTTTGGTTTCCGGGCTCTGGGTGCAGGAATTAGCAAGCCCGCTGCAGGGGCGGGGCAAAGACCTCTAGATTTCAATTTCACTTCCTGGGCTTCGGCGGCAGAGGGAGACCTTCCGTCTCGGGCGCTGCCATTAGCTGTCGTCCCGGCAGCCAGGAGGGAGCAATGGGAAACCAGGAGTCCCAGTTATTTTCAGTGCCTGCTCAGAAGCTGGATAATTTTATCCGGGACTATGTGATGCCCAATGAAGAGTGTCAGGAACGCATTGACTGCATCGTGGACGTCATCTGTGACATCCTGCAGAGCACGGAGCACTTCCCTGCGGTGCAGGGAGTAGCCAAAGTGAGTCCGGGGCTGGGGTCAGGGTTCTGAGAGCCAGGAGATTCCACGGGCCTGAGCCCCTTCGATGCGCCAGGCCCACACCTGGGCTGGGATATGTTGTAGAGGCCCAGGCTTCGGGGCAGTCTCTTCCCCTGAGTGGTTGTATGACGCTGGGCAGGCCGCTTAACCTCTCTGTGCCTCAGTCTCTGAATCTGTAAAATGGGGAGAGACCGAGTTCCCACTTCAAAGAATCAGAAGGCTTAAGCATAAAATGTTCTTAGCACAGGGCCTGACACCTAGTTAGTGCTCAAGGTGTTAGCTGCTATTAATCATCATTATTATTTCTATCTTCCCCGTAGTACAAAGGAGTAAACTGAGGCTGAAGGACCTTGGTCGCACTATCCAGCATCGCTCTGTGGTTTCTCAGCAGCGAGGAGGGGTGGCTCTCCCCTGTCAGAAATGTTTGGTGCTATGGTCACAAATCCCAGGACTGAGGTTGAAGATTCTGGACCTTTGGGGAGGAAGGGGAGCCAGGAATGTACCAGGACCCTAGGATGGGGGTGCAGGGGGCGAGGGTCCTGATGTCCCAACACCACCTGCTTACCCTCCAGCGCTGCCAACGTCCCCTTCTCTGCAGTCGCAACGCTGTCTGGCCTCTGCCTTTACACACCCCCTCTAGCCCTGCAGCAAAGAAATCTAGACACGTGGCCTCCCTGCCCTGGCCCTGGTGAGGAAACTGAGGCAAGTTCAGTAATTTAATAGTTGGTGTCAGAGCTGGGATTTAAGCTCGGGTAACCTGCGTAAGGCAGGCATGTTTAACCACTAAGCCATCCTGCTCCTAAATACTGTGAACATCTTTTCCTCGTTGAAGTAAAATATATACAAAGAAAAGTGCACACACCTAAGTGTGCAGTTTGACGAGCGCCCTGTGTAACCCAAACCCAGATAAAGAAATAAAACATTCCCAGTCCCCCAAGAGCCCTAGGCCCCCTATCTGGGAGGCCCCCCAACCCCAGGTAGCCAGTCTCCTCATTTCCGATAGTGTAGACTAGTTTTGCTTGTTGTTTAACTTTAGGTAAATGTAGGGTGAACAGTCAACCCAGTTTGCCCAGGAGTGAGGTGTTTCCTGGGAGGTGGGCCTCTCAGCGCTAAAACTGGGGACGTGAAGCATGATGGGTTGGTCACCCTTTGTAAATGGCGGCACGTGCTGCGGGTGCTTTCACGTGTGGTTTCTTTGACCCGTCAGGTTTATGAAACGAATGTTGTTGCAGGCAGTTGTTTACCATTTTCATTGTTGTGTAGTATTCCGTTGTGTGACTATACCACATTTGTCCATTCTATTGTTTCCTATTGAAACGTGATAATTGTACATATTTATGAGGTACCTGTGACATTTTGAAACATGGATACAGAGTGTATTGATCAAATTGGTGCAATTAGGGTATCCAGCGCCTCAAACATTTATTGTCTCTTTGTGTTGGGAACATTTCAGGTCTTCTCTTCTAGCTATTTTGAAATACACACTAAATTATCATTAACTATAGTCACCCTCCTGTGCCATCAAACACTGGAACTTACTCCTTCTGTCTAACTATACGTGTGTACCCATTAACCAACCTCCCTTCATCCCCCCACCACCCTTCCCAGCCTGTGGTAACTAACGGTCTACTCTCCACCTCCATGAGATCAACTTGTTTAGTTCCCACATGTAAGTGAGAACATGTGATATTTGTCTTTCTGTGCCTGGCTAATTTCACTTAACATAATGACCTCTAGTTCCATCTATGTTACTGCAAACGACAGGATTTCATTCTCTTTACAGCTGAATAGTATTCCATCGTGTATATATACCACACTCTTTGCCCATTCTTCTGTTGGCGGGCACAGCTAACATCATACCAAATGGGGAAAAGCCAAAAGCTTTTCCTCTAAGAACCAAAATAAGACAAGGATGCCCACTTTTACCACTCTTATTTGACATCGTACTCAAAGTCCCAGCCAGAGCAATCAGGGAACAGAAAGAAATAATAAGCATCTATGCCTTCAGCCATCTCTTCTACTTCTGGAACTCCCAAAGTTCAAATATGTGGTCATGTTATGATAACCCAAATGTCACGTAGATTTCTTCTTTCTTGTTTTTTTGTTGGTTTTTTTTTTTTTTTTTTTTTGGTCTGACTGGGTTATTTCAAAAGATCTGTCTTCAAGTTCAGAAATTCTTTCTTCTGCTAGATCTAGTCTATCGTTGAAGCTCTTGGTTGTGTTTTTTATTTTATTCATTGAATTCTTCAGTTCCAGGATTTCTGCTTGGTTGTTTCTTATGGTATCTATGTCTCTTGAATTTCTCATTCGCATCATGGATCGTTTTCCTGATTTCTTTGTATTGTTTATCTGTGTCCTCCTGTATCCCACTGAGTTTATTTTGAATTTTTCAGGCATTTCATAGATTTCCTTTTTGGGGGATCTGTTACTGGAGAATTATTATGCTCCTTTGGAGGTTTCCTTGCTTTCTTGTGTTTCTTGTGTCCTTACGTAGGTATGTGTACATCTTGTGTAACAGTCAGTTCTTCCAGTTTTATGGATTGGCTTTTGCAGGGGAAGACTTTTTCCTGTAGATGTATCTGTAGTATTGGCTGAGTAGGGTGCTTTGGCTTTGATTCCGGGTGGGCACAGTAGTGTAATGTCTGTATGGTTTCCTAAGCTGTAATCAGCATCCACGGTGTCTGTGAGTTCCTCAGTGGCTTCGGCTGCAGTTGTTAGCGGAGGTTGTGACAAGGCTTTGCTGGGGATGTAAACATGAGGTGGGCCAGTCCTCAGGCAACAGTGGTGGTAGCAGTAAGCCAGGCATGCCAGTCCTCAGGCCCCCAGGCGGCATACTTGGGCATTGGTGGTGGTGGGTCCAGGTGGGCCAGGCCTAGGGCCTCAAGGTGGTGTGCTTGGATGCCAGCAGTGGTAGCAGAGGGCTGGGCAGGCAGGCCCTTGGGCCTCTAGGTGGTGTGCATGGCATCAGTAGTGCCAGTAGCAGCAGCAGGCCGACTACCCGGCCCTCAAGCAGTGCACGTGGGCCTCAGCAGTGACGGACTGGGCAGGCTGGTCTCCAGGTCCTCAAGAGGCACATGCAGGCACCAGAGGCAGGTGGGGTACACCTGTCCTGAGGCCCCTGGATGGCACATGCATGCTCTGGTGGTGGCAGGCAGGGCAGGTCAATCTCCAGGCCCCGGACAACATGCATGGGTGCTGGCAGCAGGTGGAGTGAGCCCATCCTCAGGCCCCAGGACGGTGTGCTCAGCACCGGTGGTAGAGGATGGGGTGGGTCTGTCACGTTCTGTTGTCGATGGCCATTTGATTTGCCTTCAGTTTGGGGCCCGTATGAAAAGTGCTGCTATGCACATCCCAATCAGGTCTTTGGGAGGACAAATGGATGCCTGCCGCTCAACTTTTTAAGACCATGGTGACATTTTTGGCTTTCACTCGAGTTGAGAAATACTACTGCGGGGGCTCCCCACGACCCCTGAGAGGCCAGAGTCTCACATCTGCTTCTCTGTCGTTGGCAGGGTGGATCCTACGGCCGGAAAACAGTCTTGAGAGGCAGCTCTGATGGCACCCTCGTCCTCTTCCTCAGTCGCTTCAAACAATTCGAGGATCAGAGGAAAAACCAACAAGAAATCCTCGAAAGAATCGGGGATCTCCTGGAGTACCACGTGCACAAAAAGGGGCTGGACGACTGGGTCGAGGTCCAGTGTGGCCGGGTCGTTATCCAGGTGTCTGGAGGAACGCAAAGAATCTCCTTCAAGGTGCTACCTGCCTTCAACGCTCTGGGTGGGTGCTCCTGGGTGTGTGTGCGGTGGGGTGGGGAGCGTCCAGGGGGAAGAAAAGCCAAAGAAGGGGGTGCCAGACAGCCCTGTAGGTCTTCTAGGCTGTGAGCGGTACAGATGCCACTGCTGCTTTCTGAAATGGGAGACCTTTCTCAGAAGAGAAAAATCCCTCCTGCTCTGGGCTTATACTCTTCTCTGGAACTTTTCCCCTCTCCTTGTAATTGACTTTGGAGGAAATGTCCTAGATTCTAGAATCTAAAGCAGAGCTTTTCAAACTGAATGAATGAATCACCCGAAACCCTATTAAAACGCGGGTTCTGAATCAGGAGGTCTGGGTCAGGGCCTGGGATTCCAGTTTCTAACCAGCTCCACAGTGATGATGCTGGGCCACAGACCACACTCGAGACTTTAGACTGGAGCCAGTATTGCTTTCTAGAAAGAGGATGAGGCACACATCTAGGAAAACACCAGCTGGAGCAAGTGTTTGAAGTCTGCCTTCCTACCAGCTCAGCGTCAAAGAAACAACTTCCATGGACGACTGTCTACCACAGTTTGGGGGGTGACTCAAACCCCGCTGCTATCTCCCCAAGACCTGCCCAGGAACCTCCTGTCTCAGCAAACATTCCTGCAGAGCTTTGCCTGTCCCCTAAGCCGGGGTTCTATCCCTGGCTCCCCCATCTTCTCACCCACAGCCCACCACTAAATCCTGCCCGTTCTGCCCAATTTGCTCTTCGATCTGCTTCATTTCTCTCCCTTCCGCGCTGCTGCTCCCCTCGCCAAGGCCACCGTCAGGGCTGGCCTAGACATGGCAGTGGCCTCCTAATTTTCTCCCTGCCTCTCTCTCCCTCCACACTGATCTGGCTGCTCTTCCCAAGTGTGATTTTGTCACACATTCTGTACGAAACCCTCTTACAGTTTTTCTTCCCATTTAGGATAAGGAGCAAACTCCTCAGCAGGACAGGCCTTTGACAATCCGCTGGCCCTGGCTTACTCACCTCTCTGGCCGTACCACTCACCACCAACTAACTGTCTGTGCTGCAACTACTCTGACCTTCACTGAGCTCCTGAAACTCACCGTGCTCACTCAGCTCGAGACTTTGGCCCATGCTGTTCCTTTGCCTGGAACATTCTTCCCCCAACCTTTATATATATATAACCTTTATATATATATAAAAAACTCCAGCTCTTCATTTAAGTTCTCTGGATTGGTGGATCCAACCCAGATCCACCTCCTACATGCTCCAATTGTGCTTTCTGGATCATGATGGAAAAAATTTGTTTAGTTTTATCCTCTCCTAGACCGTAAGCTCTGTGAAGACAGGTACCGTGAGTGTCTTGTTCTTCTCCAGTCTCTAGCACAATATTCGTTAACCAATAATAGTTGTTGGATAGACGGATGGACGGCCGGATGGATCATGATGGAAAAACGGATGAAAGGAAATTGCATGGACGGATGGATGTGGATGAATGAATGGATAAATGGACGGAGAAATGGACGGTTCATTGGATGTATGGGTGGGTGGGTAGGTGTGGATGATGGATGGATAGATGGAATAGATGGATGGTCCACTGGATGCATGGGGGGGTGGGTGGATGGATAAGACTCAGCATAGTTTCAAGCACAGGTACACGTATCATCGCAAGCTTAAAGAATTCCAGAGCCGAAATTCAACCCCTCATTAAAGAGTGGGGAAACAGAAAGAAAGGGATGTGCCCAGGGCCACACAGCCAATTACTCTCAAAACTAGAACAAAAGCCCAAGTCTTCTGAGTCCCAGCCCAGGGTGCCTTCCACCATATAGTTTTAAGGAATGCCTGGGTTACAAGGGGCCTTGAAAAATTAGCACAACCATCATCTGATAAGGTGGAGACATCTCCACATCCTGATGACTCACTTGCACAGAAGGGTGTCCTGGTTCGGAGGAAAAGGCACCAGTTTGGGAGCTTGGCAACCCTGAGTTCTCATCCAGGTCCCGCTGCTTGCGTGCGCCTGCCAACTGTGCAGTCAGACTGGAAACAGCCAGCTGTCAGGGCCATTGGGGCGCTCAGGGTTGGGCCTCAAACAAGGATCGTAGTCCAGGTAAGGAGACACGCGTGGCTCAGAATTCTTACGGGAAATCCCGTGTACTGGCCTCTTGTTCAAGGAGGCCAGCGCGCCCTCTACTGGGTTCGCCCAGCATGCAAGGATGGTGTGAGGAGACCTGAGCTCTTCCTCGCATGCGTTACCCAGGAGCCGCCACTAGATGGTGGTAGAGCTGCATGTTGCACCCTGAGATCCTTTTTCTGCGAGGAAAGGTAAGGGTTGCTTTCCGAGAAGAGCGACCTACAGGGGAATTTGCAAATTGCTTTTTTTTAAAAAAATAAACATTAGCCTAATTAATCTGGCTTATTGTTTACACCAGGTCCAGGCAGGCTCCCTTCAACCCTGCGTCTCTTTCCACTGCTGTGTGCCACCTGCTTAGACGCAAAGCAGGAAGGTACCTGTTCACTCCGCTTGCGGGTGTTTCCTCATCTGTAAATCCGAAGTGGCAGTCGCGCTCACCACATTAGCGTTCTGTGGGGCTTGTATGTTTCACTGCACAGAAAAGGCTTAATCGAAGTGCTTATTGAGAGTAAGCACTCAACACGTGTTAGCTATATTATTATCAATAGGTGGAGGATGGAATGTTCCACCTCCCCTCGTGCCAAGTGCCTGAACCGCGTCTAGGGAGTCAATAAGCAACAAGCTGGATGCTTTCTCCTGGCTGTTTTTCAATGTGCTTATAAACAATGGAGTTCAGCTAGCAAGGATGGAACCCACTGCTCAAACTGGCCTCCATCCCCAGGCCTCCGGGGCCCTGCTGTTGCCTTGCCTGCCTCTCAAAGTCCGGGTACCCTGACCCTCTAAATAGAATATTCACTGGATAAACTCAATAGCAGATTATATTGTATGTGATACATAAACTTTGTTGTTTTTTTTTTCAGCCACATGTTTGCCAATTTTGCAAACACCAACAATTTTTCAAAGAACCCAGCCTTTCCCTACCAATTTGGAGCATCCCCTTTTTCAGTTATAGTTGAGTTTCTCATCCCTCTATTTGGTTCTGCTGATCTTGTCTTGGGTCAGCCCCGTACTGTTTTCATTATAGTCATTTTAGGCTGCATTTGATTCTCTAGTGGGCCAAGCCACCCTTCCCCGTTACCTTTCATGTAAACACACCGAGTCCTCTTACAGATTACGCAGCGGACATGTGCTATGAAATCACAAAGGCCCTTCATCGTTGAGCAACCCTGACTCTGAGACGAGGTTACGTAAATACCAAAATTCTTGTTTTTCTTTCACATCAGGCTTCCTGGAGGACCCCAACCCCTGGATCTATCGCGATCTCAAAAGATCCTTGGATAAGGCACAAGCCGGCCCCGGTGAGTTCGCAGTCTGCTTCACAGAACTCCAGGAGAAGTTTTTTAACAACCGTCCCAGACAGCTGAAGAATTTGATCCTCTTGGTAAAGTACTGGCACCAACAGGTAATTTTCCAACTGTGTATGTATCGTTATCATTCATTTCCTTTTTATCGAGATAATTTACATCAGTAAAGTGCAGCAATCTTAAGTATACACTCAATGCATTTTTCTACATCCTTCTCAGCAACACTCGAGTCAACATAGGGAACATCTCCTGCACCCCAGGATGTGCCTCAAGCCCATTGTACCCCAGTAATATCCCCAAACAAACCCCTATTCCAATACTCGCCACCACAAATTAGTTTTGCTTGTTTTTAAATGGTATAAATGGAACCATACTGTCCCTGCTTTATGTCTGCCTTTTTTTGCTCGACATTGTGTCTGAGAGATTCATTCATGCTGTCGCATGTAGGAGTTTTCATTGTCTTGTAGTATTGCATTGTATTAATACACCACACATTTATCCACTCTCCCGCTGAGGGATGTCTGGGTCAACTCCACACTGGGGCTATTATGAATTAGGTTACTATGGATATTCTCCCACAAGTCTTTTTGTACATTTAAGCACTCATTTCTCTTGGGTAAATATGCAGTAGTAGAATTGCTGGGTTATACAGTACATGTACATGAATGTTATGTGTGCATGTATACATAAATATATAGACTATATATGTGGGTCATTTATTTGTTTGTTTGTTTAACTGTAGCAAATATTGCCAAATAGTTTGCCAAAACGGTTGTACCAAATTACACTTTCATCAACCAAGTATGAGCTCCAGTTGCTCCGCATCCTTGCCAACACTTGGTATTGTCGTTCCACTGAATTTTAGACATTCTGGTGAGGGTCAGTGACCTCTTAGAGATTTCTGGTTTCTTGATTTCAGCCCCCCGACATGGGAGGTGCTGCATCCCAGACGAGCTGCTGCTCTTTCTTTTCCCACAGTGCCAGAAAACAATGGAACATTGGCCCGTGCTGAGTCCGTACGCTCTGGAGCTGCTTACGGTGTATGCCTGGGAGCAGGGGTGTGGAAAAGAAAACTTTGATATAGCTGAAGGCGTCAGAACCGTTCTGAAGCTGATCAAGTGCCAGGAGCAACTGTGCATCTATTGGACGATCAACTACAACTTTGACGATGAGACCGTCGGGAACATCCTGCTGAACCAGCTCCAATTGGAGAGGTGCTCAGCGCCCCGCAGCCACACCCCTATACCTCTGTGTCTGCACGCGGGACTGTTCCCTTTTAAAATGAGGCCTCAGCCCTGGCCTGTCCAGCTAGAGATGTGCCAAAAGAATGGCAGCCACTGGCCAGGCGTGATGGCTCATGCTTATAATCCCAGCACTTTGTGAGGCTGAGACGGGAAGATCACTTGAGGCCAGGAGTTTGAGCCTAGCCTGGGCAACATAGTGAGACCCCATCTCTACAAAAAATCTAAAAATTAGCTGGGTATAGCGGCACGCATCTGCAGTCCCAGTTACTCGGAAGGCTGGGGTGAGAGGATCACCTGAGCCCAGGAGGCTGCAGTGAGCTATGATCAGGCCACTGCACTCCAGACTGGGCAACAGAGTGAGGCCCTGTCTCTAAAAAAAATAAAATAAAAATAAAAACAGAATGGGAGCCACTGCCATGAATGGCCTGGTGGAGAATTCTGTCCCGGCCAATGCTTTGTATGTTTCAAACCATGGTCATATTTTGTCCCAAAAACAAACACTGGAGGGGTTCTTCCCCTTCTAGAGGGAAGGAGCTCAGAGAGAAAAGGGAGTTGTCAGAAGAGGAGACCACTTTGTTGTTTTATTAATGGAATCTCTCTGTAAAGCAGAACACACAGGGCCCGAGGGGCTAGATGTTGTAGACAAAGCCCCTTAGCACCTTGGAGGGACCCCAGGAATCAGAACTCCAGTGACCAGATTCCCCACTCGAGCCCTTTTTCCCCAAAACTGACTTCTTCTCCCACAAGCAGCTGAACTGACTTTTTTTTTCATCTAACGGAACCCACAGGCCAGTGATCGTGGATCCAACCGACCCAACCAATGACGTGAGCAGAGGGAAGAGCTGCTGGCAGGCGCTGAAACGAAACGCTCAGGTCTGGCTCACGTCTCCCAGCCTGGACAGCCAGTTGCCTGCATCGTCTTGGAACGTCCCGGTGAGAGGGTTTTCCAGCCACAGCTTGTTCCGCGCCGGGAGGAGGGTCCTCCCGACACCCAGACCAAGTCCTATCCCAGAGCACCACGTATGAGTTTCCTGTGACTGCTGCGACAAAGTACCGCAAATGGGGTGGCTTTAAACAACAGAAATTTATTCTCTCACCGTTCTGGTTGTTAGAAGTTCAAAATCAAGGTGTCGTCTGGGCTGTGCTCTCTCTCTCTGAAAGCTCCTAGGGAAGAACCCTTCCATGCCTCTTCCAGCTTCCGTGGCTGCCAGCAGTCCTTGGCTTGTGGCCGCATCACTCCGATCTCTGCTCCCATTGTCTCGTGGCCACCTCCCTGCGTGTCTTCATGTCATCGTCCCTCTGTGTGTGTGACTCAGCGTCTCTCTCCACTTCTTATGGGAACGACAGTCATATTGGATTAAGGTCCACCCTAATGACCTCATTTTAACCTGACTGTATCTGTAAAGACTCTATTTCCAAATACGGTCCCATTCGCAGGTACCGAGGCATCTTTTAGGGGGGACGCAATTGAACCCGCAGCACATCGTTAGGGGCAATGACCGTGAAGCCCAAAAGGGAACAAAGAGAGAGGGGAGACAGACGAGAGAGTTCACTTAATTCTTGCAGAAGAGAAAGCAGGCGAGCGGGTGGGGAGAGATGACAGGGAGCAGCGGAACCCGAGAGAACTGGCGCGGCCAGACCTGCGATGCCGGCGCGGCCTCCGAGCGCAGTCAGGCAGGTGCAGGGGCAGGAGGGGGGCGGGGCAGAAACGGGGGGCCCAATTAAAGGACCAGCTGTGAAACAGGTGCAGGGTTTCCCCCTCCCGACCCCGAAAGGAGAAGTAAACCCGTCAACGCAGAATTCCCCGCACGCTCAGAGCGCCAGGCAAGGGCGGCCAGCTCTCCTGGGAACCCCAGTGGGCACAGCTGTATCATTGGAGGCCAGATGGGCCAACCAACTTCCACGTTTCACAGACAGGGGACTCATTCATATCCTAATTATGGGAGGCGGGATCTACATTTTCCATTTGCACAGAAATTTGAGCGCTAACTGAGCAAAAATCTGGGATGTAAATGAATTTACCAGACTCTTGGGGCCCTGGAGGTGAAGGAGTCTGTGAACGGGGAAGTTTCCTAATTGGGTCTAGAAGGATCGTGATGCTCTGGGCCACCTCTGGGCCCCCCACCCCTGCTTTCGCTGGAGTCCTGCCCTTCCTGGCTCGCTCTGGTTTTCCCGGCTTCCTCAGAGAGCTTTTTCCAAAACATTAATATTTCCCCCATTTTATTCTGCAAAGCTTTCAAACATATTTTAAAAAGTTACAAGAATGATTCAATAGGCTGGGCGCGGTGGCTCACGCCTGTAATCCCAGCACTCTGGGAGGCCGAGGCGGGCGGATTGTTTGAGCTCAGGAGTTCGAGACCAGCCTGAGCAAGAGCAAGATCCCCGCATCTACTAAAATTAGAAAGAAATTAATCGGACAACTAAAAAAAACATATAGAAAAAATTGGCCGGGCATGGTGGCGCATGCCTGTGGTCCCAGCTACGCGGCTGAGGCAGTAGGATCACTTGAGCCCAGGAGTTTGAGGTTGCTGTGAGCTAGGCTGACACCACGGCACTCACTCTAGCCCGGGCAACAGAGTGAGACTCTGTCTCAAAAAAAAAAAAAAAAAAAATGATTCAATAAACTCCCGTGTGCCCTTCACGCAGATGCACGAATGTGTAACATTTTACCAGCTTTGCAGTGTTACACACCATGTGTGTGTGTGTGTGTGTGTGTGTGTGAGACCTTTACTGTCGTCATGATTCCTGTTGCTGCGGTTGCTGTTTGTACTGTCATCCCTTCACCCCTAAATGCTTTCATACGGATCTCTGAGAATAAGGACATGCCCCTCACCAACCACCACGCCATGGTCAAATTCAGGAGATTTAGGGTTCCTATATTTTTGATTTTCGGCCTCCGGAACTGTGAGAGGATGAATTTCTGCTGCGTTAAGCCACCCAGGTGTGGTAACTTACCATGGCAGCGTTTGGAAAGTAATGCACCTGGGCGGTGAGCTTAAGAAAGGCTCACACAACCTTTACAAAATCAGTGACTGCGACCCTCAGAAACCTGCCCACTGAAAGGGGAAAACAAAGCAAAAAGGTGCTGCTCATTAGTGGTGATGCCACAGCTAGAAGTGGAAACCAGAGAGCAGCTTGGAGTTAGGGACACGACCCGCCTGTCAGAAGAAGGATCCAGATCTCTCCTAGGGACGAAGGAGGGACAACTAGACGAGTTTTGATTCTGGGGGATCTGGGGCACCACCCTAAACTCTCAGGTATGTTCTTGGGACATGTCAGTGCAAGGAGCCAGGACGGGGAAGGTGCCGAGGATTGCAGAGCAGGAGGGAGGGGCTGGGCAGAGGGCCCAGAACGGGCAGGAAAGAGAAGCTCAAGCTCAGCCTGCAGGGGCCACTCACGCCTGCGGTCTCCTGCCTGTCCGCAGCCAGCACCGCTCTTCGCGACCCCGGGCCATCTTCTAGACAAGTTCATCCGGGACTTTCTCCAGCCCGACCAATGCTTCCTAGATCAGATCGAGACAGCCCTTGACATCATCTGCAAGTTCCTTACAGAACGTTGCTTTCAACGGACACCTGCCAAGATCCAGATCGTCAGGGTGAGTGCTGCCGCTTCCCTCACGGGTAGACCTGGAGGGGAGAAGTGGGCATCGTAGCTGTCCAGGGCCCGTCTACCTTCAGAAACTTCAGGAAGGGAAGCTGGGGAGGTCAGGGCACCAGGGCACTGGTTTTCAGTGGGGCTCTGCCTGTGCCGTCAACAGCACGCCTTGGTCCTGCATTTGTTTCCTAGGGGGCTGCCGGCAACCCTTCGTGCTCTCGGGCTTGGGGACCTCTCACTCCGATCTCTGCCTCTGTCTTCACGTCACCTTCTCCTCTGTGTGTCCTCTCTTCTCTCCTAAAGACACTTGTCTTTGGATTCAGAGCCTGCCCAATCCAGAATGATCTCATCTCCAGATCCTTAACTTATTTACATCTGCAAAGACCCTTTTTGCAAATAAAGTCACATCCACAAGATCCCAGAGGACATGTCTTCTGGGGGGGGGCCACCGTTCAACCCACCACAGGTGCTAAGCTCGGTATGCAGTAAACCAGAGAGGGATCTTCTTCTCGTGTAGATGACCAGGGACCAATTTGCCTCACCGGCTGAGCTGGAGATTCAGAGCATTGAGTTGTTCCTGTCCCTGCCATGGGCTGACACACTTCCCTCTGTTGGTCATATGACCAGATAAAACTGTGCCCACGGTCACAAGAAGCGAGGGAGGAAAACGTTAATGTATGTGCATAAACATCTGCAGTGACGCAGAAACAGACCTGCGTGCATGCCTCGCTGAGAGTGTCTGGGAAACCGCACCGATACCCACTGAGCCATGAGTGAACCATCTCACTGAGGTTCGTCAGCTGAAAACAAGACTGAGTTTGTGACCAATGTCAGAACCATTGAAGCATGCCTTTTCTCTTCTCCTTCCTGAGACCCAATTAACATGATAGTTAATAAAGAAGAAAAAGGCCAGGGGCGGTGGCTCATGCCTATAATCCCAGCACCTTGCAAGGCCCAGGCAGGAGGATCATTTAAGGCCAGGAGTTCAAAACCAGCCTGGGCAACATAGCAAGACCCTCGTCTCTACAAAAAAAAAAATTTTAATTAGCTGGGTATCGTGGTGTACACCTGTAGTCTCAGCTGCTTGGGAGGCTGAGGCAGGAGGATCACTTGAGCCCAGGAGTTCAAGGATGCAGTGAGCTATGATCGTGCCTGGGCAACAGAGCAAGACCCTGTCTATCAAATTAATTAATAAAGAAGAAAAGGTATATGACACATCAAAGAAGAAAACAGGAAGAGAGCCATCAGCAGATAAGAAATTTCTTTCTATCTTCCTGGAGTTGGATGAAGGTTTCTCCACTAAGGTGGAGAGGGAGGTGCCACCTAGGGATTGTGAGCAAGGGGCCACAGCCGGGGAGGGGCCACTGAAACCCAGCTTTCAAAGACAGGGTGCATGAATGAAGTGGGCTGCAACAGGGGTGACTTGAGGATGTGCATGCAGCAAATAGAGTACACCCTTCCTCGCCTCCCAACCCCGTGTGCCAGGCACTTACTAACCATGGATAAAATAAACATTTCTCGACAGACACTAAATGAAGGAGGAGGAAAGGAGGAGGGAGGAAGGGGAGAAGCCTATACAGCAGAGACATAAGTAGCCCACAAAGCCTAAATAGTTACTGTTGGCCCTTTACAGAAAGTTTGCTGACCCTCGTACTTCTGAATATTCACCCAGTGGTCCCCAGACTGTAGATCATTGATCAATCAAGGAACAGATGAGAACGTTCACCATAATAATTGCATTCAGCTTGATTTCTTTCAGGTCACAAGAATCCAAATAAAACTAATTGTTTCTATAGGAGAAATCTTTAGGGAATTGATCTGAGAAGCAGGTAACTTATAACTTATAGCCCATCGGTTTTTTATATGTGAAGGGCAGGAGAATAGTTGCCTTTGGAACCATCGTATCTATCAGTTTGTAAAATGAAACACTCTGCCTTAGACTCAGCCCTCACTGGACCCTAACACAGAACCTGGCCTTGGCGACCTCATTGATTAGCCCAACTGGTGCCAGCCCATGGGCGCAAGGACCTCTCGGTCTGGGCAATGCTACAGCTCAACTTTCCTTTCTTCCCTAGGGAGGATCAACCGCCAAAGGCACAGCTCTGAAGACCGGCTCTGATGCCACACTCGTCGTGTTCCATGACTCGATTAAAAGTTATGCCTCCCAAGGAAGCGAAGGCAGCAAAATCGTCAAGGAAATTCAGAAACAGCTGGAAGCCTGTGAACAGGAGAAGGAGTTTGAAGTCACGTTTGAGATCTCAGTACGGAAGGCTCCCAGGGCACTGAGCTTCTCTCTAAAATCCAAAGTGCTCAACGAAAGCATCGACTTTGATGTGCTACCTGCCTTTAATGCACTGGGTAAGATGCCCCAGCCCTTGGGTCCTACAGGAGGAAGATTCTGGATTCTGGAAGTGATGGGGGTGGGGTGGAGAGAAAGCCATGTGACTTAGTAGCCAGGTATGAAAACATACGCCACTCATGGTCCGGGACTCCCAGCAGGTGGCATTAATAATGGCAGTAAGACCTCACACCTGTGTGTGAGTTCATTCCTATTTCTCATTTGCATATCCCAAGGACTACCATCTTATACTCCCGCACATCATCCATATATCTGTCAAATAATGGGGTACACAGGAGTTCCATATACATTTGTAGATAAAATGCCTCAAATACAGTGAAGGAAATCAAAGAGCAAAATGTGGGAGGAATTCTAAGGCAAAAACACAGGAAATCTGGATGTTTGGTTTCAATCTTGGGCAAAAATCTCCTTTAGAAATTCAATTCATGGGTGACAGGTCCATAATAGGATATTAAAAGAAATCAAGGCTATTTCAGGCATTTTCCAAGTCAAAGTCATGAACACTCTAGTACCTGCCCTCTGCATAGCACTTAGTGTCTCTCAAAAAGGGAACAACAGTATAGAATGGGAGGTGGGCAAATTTTTTTTTGGTGAAAGGAAAGATAGGAAAAATTTTCAGCTTCGAAGACCATATAGTATCTGTTGCAACTACTCAGCCTTGCCGTGGTTGCATGAAAGCAGCCATACATGATACATTAACAAATGGACATGGCTGTGTTCCAATAAAACTTTATTTACAAAATCAAGCACTGGGCCAGATTTAGCCCAAGAGCCATAGTCTGCAAACTCCAGAGCAGTGCTGTCCAAAATGTCTTTCCGTGATAATGAAAATGTTCTGTGTTCTATATCTACCGAGAGCTTGCCATGTGGCCAGTGCAACTGAGGAACTAAATTTTCATTTTATTTCCTTTTAATTAACTTGAATGCAAATGGCCACATTGGCTGGTGGCTCCTATGTTGGGCAGTTCAGGTCTAGATAATACTTTCATAGTACTCCCTGTACTCATGGAGATCATACAATTTTTTTAAAATCTCGTTTCTCTAGAGATGCCCCCTGTATCTTAGACATCAGTGATGTAAATACACTGATACCTTTCAAAATAATTTCCCAGAATTAAGTTATGGTTGTCAAAAATGTTTTGAAATCTGTTACTTACTATACATATTAAGGCATGACGTCAATATCTCCCTCATGCTAGGTCAATCGAGCTCCGGCTCCACACCCAGCCCCAAGGTTTATGCTGAGCTCATTCAGATGTATAAATCCCCAGACATCCCGGGGGGAGAGTTTTCTACCAGTTTCACGGTGCTACAGCGAAACTTCATTGGCTCCCAGCCCACCAAACTGCGGAATTTAATTCGCCTGGTGAAGCACTGGTACACACAGGTACGACAGCCCTTGTTCTGATCATCGGGTTATTGTTTTTACCAGCAAGCCGTGACCATCACGCCAGCCCTTAGCAAGTGTCCCGTTGCCCACCCTCTCCCATGCTGAGAGCTGAGCCACTTGTTTAGGGAATCTGCCCTCTCCTTAAACCCTAGGTATCTTTGTGGGGTTCCCATCACTAACCCCATTAGTTTGGGTGAGGTGTAGAGCACCCCCTGCCATTAAAGTTGCTGCCTGTGGTTCATTTTGCCTTCATGCTGGCCAGAGAATTCTGCAGGAATCCAAGTTACCCCGCCGACAGAGGTGGACGAATGTCACGATTTACATGCCTGCAAGTGGCCAGTGTGGCTTATCTGCTGCCCGGTGCCTGCGCCGTCACCTGGAAGGCAGGCTGAAGCTACAAGCAGGGCTGGGGCCACATTTCCTCGTTGGCGAGCCTCCGCGCATTGTGGTCAACTGTCTCGCACACGAGGCAGTTTCTGAGGGTCTTCCTGGTGGCCAACATCGGACACGGTGCCGGCCCTTCCTGAGTCATCCCCTTTCTCGGTCCAGCTCCCTGAAGCCTGAGGCTGAGCTCCGTGGTTTTCATCTGGAAAGTAAGAGAGGTGGTGTGGTGTGTCTGCTCAGAGGGCTCAGCGCTATGGTGTGACCTTGAGTGGGTCATTCACTTCCCCAAGCCTCGTGTCCTCATCTACGATGGAGATCCTGATGCCTGCCCGGCAGGGCTGTTGGAAGGATTAGGAAGGACGCAGGGGAAATGCCCAGACCCACAGTTGGCACGCAACGGGCTTCTAGCAAACCGTAGCTGTAGTATTGTCCTAGAATGGAATGTATGGCCAAAAGCACGACAAAGTGTGCTGTGCATGCTGCTCACCTGCTGCCAGGTGAGCTCCTGTAAACCTACACCGTTTAGACCTGCAGAGCGCCAGCCCGCCAGCATGGCGCGGTGACTCGGCTGTCGTGCTGTGGCCCCTGCGCTGTGCGACTCTCGCCGAGCTCCTTGCACTACTCTGCCTCCCTAGTTCATCTCATGTTCCCACTCTTCCCCCAGTGCGAAAGGAAACTGAAGCCTAAGGGGTCTTTGCCCCCAAAGTACGCCCTGGAGCTGCTCACCGTGCACGCCTGGGAGCACGGGAGCAAGACCCTGGACTTCGACACCGCGGCGGGTTTCCGGACGGTCCTGGAGTTGGTCACGCAGTATCGGCAGCTCTGCATCTTCTGGATCGTCAATTACAACTTTGAGGATAAGAGAGTGGAGAAGTTCCTCCTGACCCAGATCCAGAAAACCAGGTGCCCGCACCCCAGCCCCAAACTCATCTTAACCTAATTCCCATCATCGCCATTTCAGTGCCCTGCGCTCTCCTCCCCTGGGGCGCTCATTCGTTTCCTCACGTGAATCGGGAGAGTGCTGGTCCCCAGGGGTAAAATCCTAGGGAAGAAGGAGGAAATATTGTCCAGGAGGAACAGGGGAGGAAGGACGGGGAGGCACCGGGTGCTGGAGTGCCTTTCCTCTTTCTGTGTTGGAAAGAAACGTGAATTTGTTAGCAGGTCTGACAGGCGATCACGTTGGAAATACGTCCCTGAGAGTTAATGCTGTCATTCACGGCAGCTGCCATCCCTGATTTATCCTGCGGGGATTGTGTTAGATTAGGGTTTATCTACCCTTTCGGCCTTCAAGAATAGTAAAGAATCACGATGTGTTCACTCAGGGCCACCAGCAGGGGACAGAAACAATGGAAACCAGGGGACAGGAAAGAGAGAAAACAAAATAGCATTGAACAAGAATAGAGAAGACAGAACAAGACACCTGGGTTGTCTACTAAGGATCGTGGCCTGCCTGGCAACATTGTATCTGATTAAATTACACATCATGTTTCCATTGACCTAGCACCCAGGAGATAGTTACATTGTGCCTTCGTGTGTATAGTAATCAACAGCTTTTGAAACATTTTTGACACATATAAATTAATTCTAGGGAAATACATTGAGCCACGTTGGTATACTTGAATTACCATCTTCTAAGCTGTAAGAACACATTGCCCTATTGCTGGAAGTAGGATGGGTCCCATATTCTGAAGTCACTGGTTTTGGAATTCTCTACTGCCTTCTAACCCCCTCCCTTAGGCCCGTGATCTTGGACCCAGCCGAACCTACTGGCGACGTGGGAGGAGGGGACCGTTGGTGTTGGCATCTTCTGGCAAAAGAAGCGAAGGAATGGTCGTCCTCTCTCTGCTTCAAGGATGAGACGGGAAACCCAGTCCAGCCATGGAAGGTGCCAGTAACAGTCATCTAAAGGAGGGGTCATCTGGAGATAGCCCTGTAACCAGCTTGAATAGAAGAACTTCTCCTGCTATAGCAACTTGGAATCGATTCAACCACGAATAATAGAAAACCCAACTCACAGGAGCTTAACAGTTGGTTCCCCCACCCCCAATTACAAGTAGCCCTGAGTCAGGACACCCGGGACTCGTGCACTGGAGGATGCTGAACAGCCACTAGGCTCCGCCCACTGCATGTCAGCACCGCCACCCCCCCCCACACACACACAGTGTAACAACCAAAAATGTCAGCGGAGTGTTCCCTGGGGGTCACAGCTCTTTCTGGCTTTGGCTTTTGGCTCCACCCTCTTCAGTTGCTGATTTTAGCACTTTATGGCCCTGAAAATAGCCAGTGAACCTCCAGATGGCAGATTTGCCATCCAGGCGGGAAGAACAGAAAGGGGAAAGGTACCCAAAGGTCAAGAACAGGGATGTTAATGGAAGCTTCATCCATCAAATCTTACATTTCGTTGCCCAGAACTGTCATGTGGCTTCCTGTCACTCGAAGGTGGCTACCGAGAAGGGGGGTGAAGACACCCCAAGGGAGTCAGTCACCCAAGGGAGTCTGCCATACCTCTCCAGAGTCCCCCCTCTTGGCCCCTGGCCAAGATATACCTGATGCCTCCTGCCAGTTACACTTGGCTCTCCCCACCACTTCTTCCTTTAGAGCAGGACTCCTCAACCTTGGCACTATTGATGTTTTGGGTCAGATAATCATTTGTTTAGGGGACGTCCTGTGCATTGTGGGACGTTGAACAGCATCCCTGGCCTCTACCCACTGTGTGCTGCCCAGTTGTAACAATTAAAAATATCTCAAGGGCGGACGCAGTGGCTCACACCTGTAATCCCAGCACTTTGGGAGGCCGAGGCAGGAGGATCACCTGAGGTCAGAAGTTAGAGACCAGCCTGGACAGCAAGACCCAGTCTCTATAAAAAAATTTTTTTAATTAGCTGGGCATGGTGGTGTGCACCTGTAGTCCCAGCTTCTAGGGAGGCTGAGGCAGGAGGATCGCTTGAACCCAGGAGTTTGAGGTTGCAGTGAGCTATGATGACGCCATGGCACTCCAGCCTGGGTGACAGAGTGAGACTCTAAAAAAAGAAGAAAAAAATGTTGAGACATATGTCCTCTGGGCAGTAAAACCTTCCCCATCTGAGAGCCCTTGCTGGAGAGAAACCCCCCACCCCACCCCAGGGTCAGCTCTAGCTACTAAGATCTGTACCATCAATAAGGGCCAAAAGCTTGTCTCTGGCAATAGTTACCTTCCTGGATACAGTCCCCTCTTTTTTTTACCTGACTCTTTTAACCAATGCTTGTACCTGCCTAGGAAACATCGTCCTCCCACAGATATGTCTTTCTCTCTAGACAGCGCAGACACCGGGAAGTTGGGGAGCTGGGGTGCATGCTGCTGTCAGTGAGAGGCTCTGAGTCTCAAATCATAGAATGCTGGAATAATAATGCTAGAAGAAAATTCTAGGGGTCATCTGGCAATTGTGCTTAAAGAATCTGTTCACTGAGTGAAAGAGCCCCCCGGATCCATTCTCCCCTTGATGTTCTCTGCCACCTCTTCCCCCGCTTCTTGGACTCCTCTTGGAACCAAGATGGCGACGTCCTTCACGAAGCCTTGCCCTGCTGAGCTACCAGTCTGCGAGGCACCTGCCTTTAAAGATAGTTGCTCTTATCCAGCTTTCTGTGCACCGTATTTCTGTCAACCTGTATTTTTGCAATTAGCTTCTCCTTTGTCCTTCATGTCTTAAAAAGGAATCTCTGTGTCTCCAAAGCGAAGCCTTCACTTGCCCTGAGGTTCCCATAACTCAATGACCTTTGTCTCAGAATCTTCCAACTCATCCACCTCCCATCTCTCTCCTCCGTACACAAAACCCTTCCCGCCCCTGCCGGCCCAGAGGTCTCCTAACCTTTCATTAGACCTTCCAAGCCCCTAAGGCTTGAGTCTCACTGATGCCTTGTCTGTATGAGCCTGATGTCTTTTCCTTCTGAGCCTGCCTTTGTCCCCCCACCCAGGTGTAACTTCTTGCCAAATCAAAAGGCTTCTTGCTTGGGCTTTAGCTTCAATGATACTTGAAGGGGTAAGTGCTGTAATCTCATAAACCCCACGTAAAGTTTTATTACTGCTGCAGACGCTGACTGGGATACACTGAAGGTTATAGCTGCCCATCGTGCCCAGTTCTTTGTACAGACTTTCAAAACCCCTTGGAATTTCCTGATAGGGGTGCATTTTGGATTCATAATAAGCTCCTTTCAACCATCTCTGAGTTTATGCTAACAGGGTGACTTGTGGTGGGCCCTTCGATAGTTTCAAGGGAGGCGCTGACCAAGCCCCCAAGACCAAGCATGTGATTAGAGGGCTGGGAATTTCATCCCCAACCCCCAACATCCAGGGAGGAGAGAAAGCTGGCAATTGAGTCCAATCACGTGGCCAATGATTTAATCAATTGTGCCAAAGTCGTGGGCCCCCAATAAAAGGACTGAACAATGAGGCTTGGGCGCCTCCTGGTTGGAGAACATTCTACGTGCCAGGAAGGTGGAGCATCCAATTCCACGGGCACAGAAGTTCCTGAGCTCTGGGTCCTTCCAGACCTGGCCACCCTATGTATCTTTTCATCTGGCTTTACATTTTTGTCCTTTATAATAAAATAGTGATTGTAAGTATAGCACTTTCCTGAGTTCTGTGAGTCATTCTTGCAAATTGTTGAACCTAAAGGGGGATCATGGGAACCCCAAATCTGTAGCCAAGTAGGACAGAGATGTGGGGTAGCCTGGGGACACCACTTGTGGCTGGTGTCTGGAGTAAGGGTGGATGTGTGGAGGACCTTGCTCTCTAATTGTCCATAAGCTTCACAGGGGCTTACTGTGTAGCTGGAGGAACTAAAACACATCACCCGAAGTCCCTTAAAGAAAAATGAAGTGCAATTTGCAACCACGTGCTTAGTGATACGTACTCAACAGGCAAGACCGGTAAGAATAAAGTGAGTAACTCAAACCACACAAAGGCAGGGAGGGACCCTTTTGGTCTTTCTGACCAATATCTTCTCAGCATTCAGTAGACATTTAGATCCATTAAAAGCAAAGAGAAGAAAGAGTTCACAGTGATCAAGAAACATGCAGTCATTGGTCACCGCCAGAAATAATCGGGGAACCAACCCTTTCTCAGAAGATGGGCAGTGAACGATAATGAAGAGGAGACAAGTAAACCAGCCTTTCTTGCCCAAAGTGCATTTCAGGATAAACAAACAGCCACAATGGGAGAGGGAAATGTATTCTCGTTACAGAAGAATTCTATTTCATAAGTGTCAAAAGGACAGCAAATTAGAAACGTCACCATTTTGAAACATCTGATGAAATAAATGGTTGAGGCAGAGATTATCGGTGGAGGAAACCATTAGCCGACACGCCGCTGGGGACACCAGCACGGGGTGGGGGGCTGTCAATCACAGCATCAGTGGGAGGGAGAAGGCCCTGGCCAGACTTGGCGCCAAATTTTTTTTTTTTAATTTGGCACCAATGTCAGCTACGAGAAACAAAAGGAATTGAGTTAGCAAATTCCAGAAAAAAAGGTATAGGTCAGACAGAGTTCAAAGAAAGAGAACAACAAAATACAGAAAAAGCGGTACAGAACTGTGGAAAGGTGTGTTTTCTCATAACCACCTAAAGGAAGGAGGCCAAGAACATAGCAAGAATCCGATTAAGATCAAGACCCAGGACCTCTAGTCCACTCTTGGTTACCCAAGCAACCAGGTCCCCACTTACATCGAAGGAAGGAAGCAGTGATTAGAAGCAAGACCACCCATGGCGAGGGGCCAATGGCCCAGAGGGTCTTGGGAAAGAGTTTGAGGACAGAGCACGAAGGAGGCCACCGACGGGGAGAGTTTGTGGGTGAAAGAAAGGATTATCTGCAGCCTGCGTGCCGGAGGCTTCAGCTGCCCTGAGTTGAGGCTTCTCCTGCTGAGTTTGGTCGGATCTGAGCAGGTCACAGGTGATCACTCCTCAGTTCTATTCGCTGGCGTTGGTGTCGGGGATAAGCATCCGACAAGGAAAAGGTGCAGAAGGAAGCTCTCTCTCTCCTGGTACCGCCCCATGTGGGTTGGGCTGGGTTCACCAGAGTGGGGTGTAGACGTGGAGGGAAGAGTTCAGCACGCAGAGAGCAGGGTGTGAGGGTCCCAGCAACTCGACCCCCTGAGAGGTTCCACCTGAGCGAAGGTAAGCGGCGTGTGCACCTTGGCCGTAGGCCAGGCTGGGAACTGCAGAGGGAACTTCTCATGCTCTTGAGGGAACGAGGACCTGGGGCTCCAGCTGGCGGGGCAGGAAATTACCGCCAGGAGAAGGGGAAAGGCTCTTTGGGGGGGAATTTAGGAAAAAAGATGCTTTGCCAAGGCTTGGCCAGGAGGAAAAGGCTCACAAAGTCAAGACAGAGGGGGGGGTCCTCTCCAGGGCATGCCAGGAGCCCCGGCCAGGACGGGAAAGGCCCCACAGTCGAAAGAGCAAGAGAAAAAGGACTTTTGAAGGGTTTGGCCGGGACGATGGGCCAGAGAACTGGGAGAACGGGGTGGCCGGGAGGTGACCACTGTGAGCTCGTGGCCCAGGCCGTTCTGACAGTGGGAGAGGAAATGCCACTAAGCCCATGGGAGGCGTGGACAAGCAAGAAGGGGACGGCAAGCGGGGTAACAGTCCCCCAGAGATGTCTAAGTCCTAATCCCTGGGGCCTGTGAACATGTTGCCTTGCATGGCGAAAGGGGTTTGCAGGTTAAGGTTACGGATCTTGAGATGCGGAGATGCTCCTGGATTCTCGGGTGGGCCCAGCCTAATCACGTGAGTCCTTAAAACCAGAGAGCCTCTCCCAGCGGAAGGTGGAATGGGTCCCTGGAGGCGAGGCAGGGGAGAGGCCTGAGCCGCCGCTGCTGGCCTGAAGACGAAAGGAACCTCAGGGAATGTGGCCCCTCTAGGAGCCAAGGACGACCCCTGCCGACGGCCAGCACGGAGACGGGGACCTGAGTCCTCCACTCGCGTGGAACCGAGTTCTGCCCACGACAAGGAAGCCGGAAGCAGAGTCTCCCCAGAGCCCCCAGTGAGGAACGCAGCCCAGCTGTCACCTACGTTGTTGGATCGAGAAGGAGAAACCTCCCGCATACCTTGGCTTGCGGCCACTTCCTTGCCTCACTGCAACCCCTTGATCCCATCGCCACATCCCCCACTAGTGACACTGATCTGTCTCCTTCATATAAGGACCCTTGGGATGACTTCAAACCCTCCAGAATAATCCATCTCTCCATCTCCTTATAAAATCCTTAACTACTCACATCTACAAAGTCCCTTTTGCCAGGTAAGGTAACACATTCACAAGTCCTGGCGATTAGGAGGTGGCGATTTCGGGGGTGGAGGGTAGTTAGCGTGCCGCAGGGGGTATTGCAGACGGTTGGTATTCAAACCACGGGAGCAGGGAAGAGCAGGCCCAACTCCCCGCCCCCAATCTCTCCAAAGACCTCCAGGCTCCAGAGCCCCTCCTGTCTCTCCTCTCTGCCCCGCCCCCTCCAGGTGGGCTCTGTGTCCCAGAGGCAGACAGAGGGGAAAGGGCGGCCCCTCCCACAACCTGAGGCCTGAAGCCACAGCACACCTGATACTCTGGGGACACAGATGCCACCCGCCACCCCGGCCACCAACAGGAATAGTCATGCCTAGGTGCTGGGCTGGCAGCTTCCAGGTGAATTGGAAATGAGGACTCACCTTCAACTCTGCTTTGTCGAAATTCCTCCAGGACATGAGTAAGAAAAAATTCTTTCCGTTCTCGTTCCTTCTGTTCTGCCTCCCCCCACGGAGCGGTTTTTTTCCTGCCAACACAATACTTGTGTCGTCGGAAAAAAGAGACAGAACTACATTATTCAACGCCTCCTGACTAAATGCCAGCTTCTAAACACTGACATCTGATGCTCCCAACAGTCTCCTGGTAGATTCGCTTTTGCGGAGGAGGAACAGGAGCTGGCATCAAGAGCTGATCCAGCCTGCGGGGCTAGCCGGGGCCTGGAATCCGATCCCAGCTGGAACTGGATTCGTTTCCTGTGGCTGCTGTGACAAATTACCGCAAACTTAGTGGCTTCAAACAACAACAATGTGTTCTACTACAGTTCCGGAGGCCAGAAGTCTCTAATGGGTCTCCCTGGGCTACAGCCAGGGTGTCAATAGAGCTGGTTCCTTCTGGGGGCTGCAGGGAAGGATCCATTCCTTGCTTCCAGCTTCTAGAGGCACCTGTGTTCCTCGCTCCAGCCTCTGCTTCCACCGTCTCATCACCCTCTCCTCTCTGTGTCTCTGGCTTTGCCCCCCACCTGTCTCTTAGAAGGACCCATTCCTAAGGTAGGTACCCAGTGAAAATATATACCTGCAAAAAAACCTCGCGCCCACATGTTCATAGAAACTCTATTCCTAATAGCCCCAAACT